TGTTACTGCTGATCTGTTTCAATGTTACTGCTGATCTGTTTCAATGTCACTGCTGATCTGTTTCATGTTGCTGCTGATCTGTTTCAATGTCACTGCTGATCTGTTTCATGTTGCTGGTGATCTGTTTCATGTTGCTGGTGATCTGTTTCAATGTCACTGCTGATCTGTTTTATGTTGCTGCTGATCTGTTTCATGTTGCTGCTTGTTGCTGCTGATCTGTTTCATGTTGCTGCTGATCTGTTTTATGTTGCTGCTGATCTGTTTCATGTTGCTGCTGATCTGTTTCATGTTGCTGTGTTCATTCGTGCTCATCTGTTCACACAGACTCATGTCCGTGCTGCTGTTCGGCGTATTGTGTTTATTGTTTTTATGCATTTCTTTTTTTAGCATGTTTTTAGTTTATGTTTTTCTTAGTTCATATCTTAGATCTTATCACTGTTTTTCTTTTACATTTTATTGTTGGATGTAACTGGGACCCTGTGAACATAATTTTGATCCACCACATGTACCACATGAGGTGCCAATGACAATAAAGAATATCTGCATCTGTATAATACTTTCTGATTCATATATCCATTGTTCTTATCAGTTTCTTATTATTAATATATATAATATAATATTTGTATGTATTTTATATTCTTTATGTATTTTATATTCTGTATTTATTTTATATTCTTTATGTATTTTATACTTCAATTTATTCCTGTTGATCTTTGCACTGTGCTTGTTGTTTGTTTTAACACAATCTTTCTGATATGTTTCTTACTGTAAAGTGTCCTTGGGTGTCCTGAAATGTGCTTTTAAAATAAAATGATTATTATTATTATTATTATTATTATTAATATATCTATTATAGCTGTTAGCTGCACCTTTCTTTGTTTTATGCATTTATTCAAAAACAGTATGTAGCTTGAATTAACCACCTTTTTCTTCTTTCTAGTGAAGAGAAAGAGAAAAGAGTCCAGTAAAGAAAAGTCTTATTTCATCACTGAATGAACATGAAGAACTGAACCGGACACAGCAAGAACAACACTTGTGTCTTCTTCTGGATGAAGCCCGTGAGACAAGGGACACACAGATACACAATCATTAGTTGGACGCAGTAGTTTTTATTTTTATACATTTTTCACTTCTTACTTTTCCTATTAAACAATTTTTTTCTTAAGTGGTGTCCTTGAACATTAAATTTCCTAAACAAATGTTACTATGTTAAGTGCATATAGTGTTTGTTTAAATCCATACTGGAAGTTAAGAAAAATTCCAATTGCAATTTATCTTTAATGAATCCTAAGAAAATATTACCAGAATCTGCTCAACTGTTATGTTATAAATCTTTTGGTTCTAGGATGAAGTGAGACAAAAACAGTCAAAAATTCAGAAAGGACAGTTATCAGTTATCGGCCGTACAACTGTGGCCCGAGAGATTCAGCTGAAAACCCTGGTGAACCTTCATCTGAAGCAAACAGGCAGGTGTTCACCTGAACTGACCACTCATGCTGTGTTTGATGATCTCCTTCGCCATCCATCCGTCCATCCATCCATCCATCCATCCATCCATCCATCCATCCATCCATCCATCCATCCATCCATTATCTTCTGCTTCTGGGTCGTGGGGGCAGCAGCTTTACCAGGGAGGCACAGACATCAACAGCCACCTCTTCAACTCTTCTAGGAGGACCCCAAGGCATTCGCAGACCAACTAACTATTTAATAAGTAATATTCTGATGCATGCTCAACAATCCAGGTATCCATCCATCCATTTTCTTCCGCTTATCCGGGGTGGGTCGCGGGGGTAGCAGCTTAAGTAGGGAGGCCCAGACTTCCCTCTCCCCAGCCACTTGGTCCAGCTCCTCCAGGGGAATCCCGAGGCGTTCCCAGGCCAGCCGAGAAACATAGTCCCTCCAGCGTGTCCTGAGTCTTCCTCTGGGTCTCCTCCCGGTGGGACGTGTCTGGAACACCTCACCAGAGAGGCGTCCAGGAGGCATCCTAACCAGATGCCCGAGCCACTTCAACTGGCTCCTCTCGACGTGAAGAAGCAGCGGCTCTACTCTGAGTCCCTCTCGGATGATCGAGCTTCTCACCCTATCTCTAAGGGAGAGCCCAGACACCATGCAAAGAAAACTCATTCCGGCCGCTTGTATCCGAGATCTCGTTCTTTCGGTCACAACCCAAAGCTCATGACCATAGATGAGGGTAGGAACATAGATCGACCAGTAAATTGAAAGCTTCGCCTTTTGACTCAGCTCTTTCTTCACCACGACAGACCTGTACAGCGCCCGCTTCACTGCAGATGCTGCACCTATCCGCCTATCGATCTCACGTTCCATTTTTCCCTCATTTGTGAACAAGACCCCAAGATACTTGAACTCCTCCACTTGGGGTAGGACCTCCTCCCTGACCCGGAGAGGGCCCTATACCCTTTTCTGGCTCAAGACCATGGCCTCGGATTTGGAGGAACTGATCCTCATCCCGGCTGTGTCGCACTCGGCTGCGAAACGCTCCAGCGAAAGCTGTAGATCATGATCTGATGAAGCCAACAGGACTATATCATCTGCAAAAAGCAGAGATGCATTCCTAAGGCCACCAAAACGAATCCCCTCAACACCTTGGCTGCACCTACAAATTTTGTCCATAAAAGTTATGAACAGAATCGGTGACAAAGGGCAACCTTGGCGAAGTCCAACTCTCACCGGAAACAAGCCCGACTCACTGCCGGCAATGCAGACCAGGCTCTGACACCGGTCATACAGGGACCGAACAGCCCGTATCAAAGGGCCTGGTACCCCATACTCCCAGAGTACCCCCCACAGGGTTCCCCGAGGGACGCGGTCAAACGTCTTCTCCAAGTCCACAAAGCACATGTAGACCGGTTGGGCAAACTCCCACACACCCTCCAGGACCCTGCTGAGAGTGTAGAGCTGGTCCAGTGTTCCAAGACCAGGACAAAAACCGCAATGCTCCTCCTGAATCCGAGGTTCGACTATCCGACGGACCCTCCTCTCCAGAACCCCCGAATAGAACTTACCAGAGAGGCTTAAGAGCGAGATCCCCCTGTAGTTTGAACACACTCTACGGTCCCCCTTTTTGAATAGGGGGACCACCACCCCGGTCTGCCAATCCAGGGGAAATTCCCCCGATGTCCACGCAATATTGCAGAGTCGCGTAAGCCAACACAACCCTACAACATCCAGGGCATTAAGGAACTCCGGGCGAATCTCATCCACCCCTGGGGCCCTGCCACCGAGGAGCTTTTTAACCACCTCGGTGACCACAGCACCAGAGATTGGAGGCCCCGACCCAGAGTCCCCAGGCTCCGCTTCCTCAGTGAAAGACGTGCCGGTGGGATTGAGGAGGTCTTCAAAGTATTCCGCCCACCGACCCACGACATCCCAAGTTGAGGTCAGCAGCACACCACCCCCACTATAAACAGTGTTGGTGGAGTACTGCTCCTCCCCGAGACGCCAGATGGCGGACCAGAATCGCCTCAAAGCCGTGCAGAAGTCATTCTCCATGGCCTCTCTGAACTCCTCCCATGCCCGAGTTTTTGCCTCAGCGACCACCCAAGCCGCATGTCGCTTGGACTGCCGGTACCCATCAGCTTCTTCCGGGGTCCCACAGGCCAAAAAGGCCCAATAGGACTCCTTCTTCAGTCTGACAACATCCCTCACTGCCGGAGTCCACCACCAGGTTCGAGGGTTGCCGCCACGACAACCTTGCGGCCGCAGCTCCGGTAACCCGCATCGACAAAGGTGCAGAACATGACCCACTCAGACTCAATGTCCCCTACCTCCCCTGGAACATGTTTGAAGTTCTCCCGGAAGTGGGAGTTAAAGCTCCGTCTCACAGGAGACTCTGCCATATGTTCCCAGCAAACCCTCACAATACGTTTGGGCCTGCCAGGTCTGACCGGCATCCTCCCCCACCATCGGAGCCAACTCACCACCAGGTAGTTATCGGTGGACAGCTCCGCCCATCTCTTCACCCGAGTGTCCAAGACATATGGCCGCAGATCAGCTGAGACGACAACAAAGTCGATCATCGAACTGCGGCCTAAGGTGTCCTGGTGCCAAGAGCACATATAGACACCCTTATGCTTAAACATGGTGTTTGTTATGGACAATCCATGACGAGCACAGAAGCCCAACAACAGAGCACCACTTGGGTTCAGATTAGGGGGGCCTTTCCTCCCAACCACACCCCTCCAGGTCTCATTGTTATTGCCCACTTGAGCATTGAAGTCCCCCAGCAGAACAAGGGAGTCCCCAGGAGGTGCACTTTCCAGTACCCCTTCCAAGGACTCCAAAAAGGGTGGATAATCTGAGCTGCCGTTTGGTGCATAAGCACAAATGAGTCAGAACCCGTCGCCCCACACATAGGCGGAGGGAGGCCACCCTCTCATTCACCGGGGTGAACCCCAACACAAAGGCACCAAGATGAGGGGCAATAAGTATGCCCACTCCTGCTCGGCGCCTCTCACTAGGGGCAACTCCAGAGTGGAAGAGTGTCCAGCCTCTCTCAAGGAAACTGGTTCCAGAGCCAGAGCCATGCGTAGAGGTGAGTCCGACTATTTCTAGCCGGAACCTCTCAATCTCACACACCAGTTCAGGCTCCTTACCCACCAGTGAGGTGACATTCCACGTCCCAATAGCCAGCTTCTGTAGCCAAGGATCAGACCGCCAGGGTCCCCGCCCTCGGCCACCACCCATCCCACATTGCACCTGACCCCTTTGACCCCTCCCACAGGTGGTGAGCCCATGGGAAGGGGGACCCATGTCTCCTCTTTGGACTGTGCCCGGCCGAGCTCCATGGGCAAAAGCCCGGCCACCAGGCGCCCGCCCGCGTGCCCCACCTCGATGCCTGGCTCCAGAGTGGGGCTCCAGTGACCCACATCCGGGCGAGGGAACAAGTCCATTTACTTTGCTCATCAATGGGGTGTTTGGGCTGCACTTTGTCTTGAGATTGGATACTTTATTTCGGATACAGGTGGTTGAAATGAGTTCTCTCCACAGGGTAGCTGAACTCTCCCTTAGAGATAGGGTGAGAAGTTCAGTTATTAGGGAAAGACTCCAAGTAGAACCGCTGCAAACCACCTTCAGAATAAGCGGAAGATGGATAGATGGATGGATGGATGGATGGATGGATGGATGGATGGAAAGAAAGTGAATAGATTCTCCTGCTGTAAAATGAAACAATAATTTCTTCTACAAAATTATTTGTCCCCCTTCCCCCCAGTAAATATGTTTCCCTAGAGTGAAAACAAACTTTTATTTATTTATTTACCAATCTCATCTTTCCTCATCTCCTTCAGTTTGTCCACAGTGAGCTTCTTCTCCTCCAAGCGGCTCAAGACCACTTGGCTCAAATGGGAGAACTGGCGGAGTGGGTGCACAAAGCCCCAAAGCCTTTTGTCGATCACCTTGCAGAAGGTGAGCAGTCGGTAAGTCATGGCAGGCCAGCGCTTCCTCAGAGCGATCTCAAACAGAGCCCGCACAATCCGAGCAGCGTTCTGTGGGAGGGAACATCATCAGGAGAAAAACAAGTTGAATGAAAGGCAACTTCACAAGAACACAGACTGAATCTGAACCTGTGTACAGAACCTCTAATCTTGTTATGCCCACCTCTGAGTCTGTGTTTTTATGTGTGTTTGACTGTCTGGTCAAATACCTCATGAACCACTGAACAACCACTGGACCCCACTCACCCAGCACACACACTTTTTGCACCGCTCTCCTCAGGCAGGAGGTTGAGGAGCATTAAAGCCCCCAGTATACTCCAGCGTATGCACGTACGCTGAGATACGCGCGTACTTCTGCAGGGCATGTCCGTGCAAAGCTCAATTTTTACGACCGCGTAAGCGGTGTCGCACAATAAACTGCCCGGCGACAGAATTTTTTGTATGCGACACCATTGTATCAAAATCCTCTTATTCACCCCTGATCTGGCCTTTTCTTATGTTTTTTTTGCCAAAAGGCAAATGATCTATTCCTCCTCCATTGATGTCATGACTGAAATGGTGAGAAATGAAGGAATTTGTCACGAGCAAATTAAACTCAGGCCCAGCGTGGCTGCAGAAGGGACTGGAGATTTCCTGGTGGGCTGGTCTGATGTGTGCACTGCAGAGCCAGCACTCCCTGTTTTTTTTTTTAGAACTTTTTATTAACAACATATAAACACAGAACACCGCGTACCTCCGCATGGACGGACGCACACGGGAATATACTGGGGGCTTTTGTGTAGAACCACTAGACTGAGGAACAGCTTCTACCCTGAGGCTGTTAAGACTCATGAATCTCTAACCAGAATAATCACTGTGAAAATCACATCATGTTGCTGCTGATCTGTTTCATGTTGCTGCTGATCTGTTTCATGTTGCTGTGTTCATTTGTGCTCATCTGTTCACTCAGACTCATGTTCGTGCTGCTGTTTGGCATATTGTTTTTATGCTATTAGTGTTTAGCATATTTTTACTTAACATTTTTCTTAGTTCATATCTTAGAAGTTATTACTATTTTTTTTTTTTACATTTTATTGTTGGATGTAACTGGGACCCTGTGTACATAATTCCGTTCCACCACATTTACCACATGTGGTGCGAATGGCAAATAAAGAAACTGTCTCTGACAAAGTTAAATAAACTTTCAGATAGTTTTTACTGAATGTACATCTAGAACTCATTAACTTTTGGAGCCAGCTCAGGTTAAGATGGCCATCACAGGCAACTAATCTTAGAAATCACAAAAATTGCAATAAACCGATCAGTCTTACAGATTTTGAGCTAACATTGATGTAGCAGTAGCTGAAAATCACTCACAACATGAATTCAGAATGTGACATTTCACAAAAACGTACGAGACCACAGATAACTTTTTCATCTATTCAAAATGTTACAATTCAGTCACGTCTCAACACAAGAATATCTTAGTGTAAAACTCTAAAATGAAAGGCAAGGTGGGTGAAGTGAGGATGCTGAAGAGAATAAAAGCTATTATGAACAACAACATGCACTCACTTCATGCCCTAAAGGTGTTCAGCCAAAGTGCAAGACTGAATGTTATCATAGGTATTTCCTGCCAGCTGCTATCAAGCTCTATAATGAGCAATGTACTAATTGTATGCTACTAAAATTACTAGAGCCTGACCAATATATCGGTATGGCATCTATTTTAGGCCAATACAGACGTTTGAGGACCTATCAATATCAGTGATAATTGTCCCATTATCCGCTGATATAAACACTTCAAATTTTCACCTCTAAAAGGGCGTATTGGGCATATTATTATTTTTTTTATACTATTAGTGCTTAGTGTATTCTTAGTTAACGTTTAAAAAAAATCTTGGTGTTATTTTTGATCAGGACATGTCTTTTATCCCCCACATTAAAAACGTTACTAGAACCTCCTTCTTCCACCTGCGTAATATCACTAACATTAGAAACGTCTGATCTAAAGATGATGCAGAAAAACTGGTCCATGCATTTGTCACATCTAGACTGGACTATTGCAATGGTTTATTATCTGGGTGTCCAAATACGTCTTTAAAACGTCTTCAGTTGATCCAAAATGCTGCTGCCAGAGTCTTAACTGGAGTTACTGGGAGAGATCATATCTCTCCAGTTTTAGTTTCTCTCCATTGGCTCCCTGTCAAATCCAGAATAGAATTCAAAATCTTACTTCTAACCTACAAAGCTCTCAACAACCTAGCTCCATCTTATATTACAGATCTTATTGTTCCATATTTTCCTAACAGAGCACTTCACTCTCAGGCTGCAGGTTTACTTGTGGTTCCTAGAATTTACAAAAACAGAATGGGAGGCAGATCTTTCAGTTATCAGGCTCCTCTCTTGTGGAACCAACTTCCAATTGTAGTGAACTAGGCCTCAGGTTTATATGTATATATGTTTATATGTATTTATGTCAAATATGGCCTTGAGGGGCCTTCCTGGAACAAGAACTGTATTTCATTGATTTGAGTCCAGAAACACAAAATCAAGTCCATCCAGAAGACTTTTTAAGTGTCCTGCACTGATCAATTGAAAGAACACTCTCTTTTCTATTATCATTACTATTTCACAAATGTTTTGGTAATCAAATTGTGTTTAGTTCAAACCAATTTTTAATGTTGAAGTGAACTACTCATGTTTAATCAACTGTGAAACAGTATTAGTGATTTTTAATCCTCATGCAAAGTAGAAATCACGTTAAGGTCTGTTACAGAGTAATTATGCATTTTCTGATTTTCTGTCTTTGAATGAGCAAGCGTAAGTTGGTCAAAGTTCAAGTTTCGGTCAACTGCAAGTTTACTGAAAAAGAAATGTCATGTTTAACTTTTACAGAAAGATACTAGAGAATTGACTCCACAAAGTCTGAGTTCTTCATAACAATCTTCTGTCTGTTCTTAAACACTTAATCTTTTTCCTTGACTTTTTAATAACACCTTACGTCACAAAAACACACCTCTGTTTGGTCCAACCGACCAATCAGAAAGTCCTCAAATGAACCGGAAGTGACCCTTTTTAAAAGGTGCAACACTTCCTAGTTCAGGGAGGTTCCAGCTCCAGTCGAGTTCAGAGGAGGAGTACAGAGTTCTGAGGAGTTCTCAGTAGTTCTGAGGAGAACGCTGAGAAGAACGCTGAGAGAATGCTGCGAAGTTCCAGAGTTCAGAAGGCTGGAATTCAGGATGCTGGAGGAAGAGTAACTAAGCTGACGAGAGAAGATCAGGGGAATTATGAAATGTCTGTTCTGGATGATCTCACGACTCCTGAGGTTTAGCTGTTCTTACGGAGACGCAGGAAGAGTTGAAAGGAAAGCTCTACACCAACGCTGAAACTATCATCTGCAAAGGTAAAGAGTCGATCTCAACCAAAGTGTACCGTGGGTTAAGCTGGTCTAGAAGGAGCGTGCTGTTCTGGTTATAACAGACAAATTCCCTCACCCATCTCTCTCAAGATAAACTTCATTTTCCATCTTTAAACTCTTCTATCTGCTAGCAAATTAATACAGTTATTTTTAGAAGTGTACAGCTGGAAGCAAGGTTTTCAACCATCGCCGTATGGTTTTTCTAATTGTAAACTTGCTAAATTAGCCATGTTGTTATTTTCATATTTTGCCAAATTAATGTAAATGTGTGATGTTAAATTTTGATTCTGTAAATAAATGACCACGTTCATTTTGATGGGTCAAAGAAAATTAACGTCTCACGATACATTTTATCAAATTCAATGCACGATATTATCCAGTCCAGAAAAATGAAAGAATCC